TAAATACTATTTTGTATGCTTTTGTTTTCTCTTATTTATTCATTTATTTATCTTTAGTGTAAATACCTCTTGGAGATTTTTCAAAGTCAGTATTGTTGACCTGCGCCATCCTTTTCATAGCTGCATAATATTCTAAAGGTTGGATATGGCTTGATTAATTTAACCATTCCCTATTGATAAATATTTCAGTGGTATTTTCATCATAGTGAACATGTGAATATTTTTGTATGTGTATCTTGGGGCTCATTTGCAAGTATTTCTGCAGAATAGAGTCCTAGAAGTGAAATTTAGAATTTTGGTAAATACAATCAAATTGTCTTTCACAGAGGTTAAGCCATTCTTTACTGATGCAGAAAGGAGACCATTAGCTTCAGTCTCTCCTACCCCACTATTGAGCTTAGAACTGAATTGTGAATAATAGCAAAATATACACACATGCTATTTGGACTGATTCCATGTAAGTTTAAAAACACTCTCTCTATGTATGTGTGCATCGATATGTGGGAGAGGGCGTACCACTAAAGGCGCAGGCTCTGGAGTAAGACCGTCAGAGTTTAAATTCCTGCTCTACTGTTTTCTCACGTTGTGTCTTTGGGTAAATTATTTAACCTTTATGAGCCTTGGCTTCCTGTAAGGTGATGATAACATTAATAATGTATCTACCTCATGGGGTTGTTGCAAGAATTAGATGAGTTAAAACTTGTGAAAACCCTTAGATCAGAGCTTAGAAGAGTGCATGGCTCACAGCAAGGACATTGTATATGTATAAATATGTAGGAGAAAAGTCTGGAAGGATACACACCAAATGGAGTCAGTTCTGGAAAGGCGGTGGAATGGAAGATGGGTAAACTTTTTTTACTCCATATACTTCTGTAATGTTTGGATATTTTACAACAAGAATGTATTTGTATGTTCTTCTGTGATTTTTTAATGATAATTTTAAAACCAGGAAAAAGAATGACGTTATCCTCCCAGAAGCAGGATCTGGTGCCTTTTCAAGACTGCCCAGTATTGTCATATCTCCTCAGGTGTTCTTCATGGCCAGTCAGAGCCAGAGTGAGGCTGGCAGGAGCAACCTTGGGTCCTCACATGACCTGGAGGAAGGGGGCCCTGGTGTGTCCTTCCTGCTCCTCTGCCCAGGCAGCTGGTCAGATGTGCCAGATGCTGACTGCCTGCTGCCACCGGAGCCCATCCCTGGGCTACCCTGCCCAACCTCTGTTGGCTGCAGCTTGCCCTGCCTGGACTGTGTGACCACTTTTCCCGAGTCAGCACCTATAGCCAGACTGGTTTCTCCAGCCTCCATGCTGCCCTGCTGGACGGCACCTAGTGTTACCGCCCAAAAAGGGGGTTTGTCTGCCCGCCGCAAGACATGCCAATGGTCAAGAGGCAAGGTGGTAGGAGAAAAAGGACTTTTTATTACTGCTTGCTAGCAAGAGGGAAGACGGCCGACTCATGTCCAAAAGAACCATCTTAAGGGGGCACAAAATCTTACAGCAGTTATGTATGTCATTGGGTTATTGGGGAGGGGGTTAGGAATGTTGACCTTCTGGTGTTACAGACTAGGAGTGCCACACTAGATCTCTGTTTTCACTGATGATGGCTATCAGCATAGACTCCCTGTTCGGGGGTCATCACATTCCTAAGGAACTCAAAAGAACAAAGTCGTCATCTTATCGCAGCTGGGAGGTACATGCACAAGCAGGGGTCGTAAAATCTACAGAGCAGTGAGATCTCCTGGAGGATGCATATCCAGCTGGGTAGTTAGTCAGAGGTCATTCAAAGTTACAGCAGAGTTTCTTTTCTACAACATGGCTTCCCTCACGTCAACCTTGTCTTGAGCCCTTATCACTAGCACAGTGCCTGGTGCATAGGCGGTGCTTGATGGATTTGCACTAATGGATGGATGAGCTGTCTACTTTTGAGTCCCAGATCCCCCTCCCACCTCCCAGCCATTTGTATCCCATTTGTATTTCTTCTCCCATGCTCTCCACTGGGTTTCCCTCCAGTCTCTGGCCATGAACCTTGCTTAGCTCCTCTTTCCAGTCTCACTCCCTCGAGAGCTTCTTCGCCTGCCATCACAGCTTTACCATTCACCACAGAGGTAGGCACGTTCCTTCTTCTCTCTGCCTGGGAATGTTACCACACCAGGTCCGTTTTTGCCCACCGCCCGGTAAGCCAATCACCAAGACGATGAGATTGCAGAGAGAGAGAAGGTTTATTAATCACAAGGCAGCCAAGTGTGGAAACAGGAGAATGAATCTCAAATCCGCTTCCCTGAAAACAAGGACTCAGGGATATTCATGTGGTAGGGGCCAAGGTGGTCTGAAATGATTGGAGGTGAGGAGAGATGAGGTAATTGATGATCTGCGCAAGCGTAGTCAGGCTTCATGCCTCTTTGTAGGACACACGTTCACAGAATGGTGGTGTCAGCCTGCCCTAAGGGTGTAGTTTTAACCTCCCGATGTCAAAAGGTCGCCTATCGGACACATGTCTGCGTAGCCCACTTGATGGGTTGGTGGTCTCAACCAGCCTGGAGTGGACAAGGGGTTCCAACTCCTGAAAAAAGTAGTTCAAACACCCATTACCATGGTGACCCAGGCTCCAGGGAGATGTCATTTATAGGAACCTAGTAGGAGTCAGATAGCATATTGCCCAAACAGCACAGTTAATAATGGGTAAGTTTGTCATGCAGATTTCAGTCCTCACCTTCCTTTCTGATAAGTTTCTAGGTAAGACCATCCTGCCCTTCTTCCTGGTACGGGGAAGAAGATAACTTTACAAATGGAGATTTCCTTTACAAATGTAAATGTCTCTTATGAAGGGTAACCAGAACTAAGAATGGGCTTAGCAAGGACCCTCCCAGATACCCGGAAAAGCCTATGGTAATGGGCTGTCCTGGGGGCAGGCCTCCCATCCCAACCTCTTTTGGTCAGTTAGTGGGGGTGGGGGTCAAAGTGTCTTTCAGGCAGAGACGTATTTTGAGGTGGCCAGTTCCGATCCCCCATAGTTACTAGCTGCTTAATCATCAAAGGTTAACTGTTTGCCAGTTTCAGGAAGGCCTTGCCTGCACCCTCTACCCCAAGACTAGTGTAGGTGTCCCTTCTGGGCACACTCCTGGCATCCTGCCCCTCCTCACAGCAGCACTGATCACCTCATAATCACCCACTTCTCCCCACTAGTCTGTGAGCCCGTGAGGGCGAGGACGGCGTTCTCTGCTCACTGCTGCATCCTCAACATCGGCACAGGGTTTGGCCTTTAGTAGGTGCTCAGGAAATGTTTGTGGAATGAATGATACATTCGCAAATTGTAACTTCTCACCTGTATTTCAGTCTCATATTCCCAGCTACCTAGAAGAGTGATACCTAAACCTAACTAATCATCAGAATCCCCTGGGAGCTTTTCAAAACCAAAAGAAAGAGCAAGGTGTGGGATTGCATGTCTTGTGTGCTCCCATTTGAATGAAACATCTCTGGAAGGCTAAGAAACTAAGGGGATTGGGCGAGGGGTAGGAGGGAGACTTTTTACTGTACTGATTGATTTTGTACCATGTAAATTATTTATTGGTTTTTCAAATTTAAATAGAGAACTATTCAGGAGCCACAATAAATAAACAATTCCAGACCCAATGCAGACCTAAGGGATAAATATCTCTAATGAATCTGTATATCTGAATAATTCCCCAGCAGTGCTGGTCATCAGCCAGGTTTGGGAGTTCCCTTCCAGGGAACAGCCCCTCTGTAGGTCCTTCTGTCATCCCAAATGCAAGCTCAGGTGTCATCATTTTCCCCCTAAAACTTGCTTTTCTTCCAGCATTCAACTATCCCTTCTGCTCTCTCTCTGTGAATATCTTCTCCATCCTTCCAGGCCTTGACCCTATCGGCGACAATGGCATCCTGGTAGGGACCACAGGGACATTGCTGTATTGCTGCGTTGACACATACACATCCAATTCATTCAGCATGCCTTATCTCGGTGTACTTAATTGGAGCAACAATGTTGATACGTATGTTTACCGATATGATCCTTTCCCCCACAGACACACACACCTGCACACGTGTCCAGTATACTTAGCTCCTGTAGGCCAGGACTGCCAATTCAAGAGAGAGGTGGGGGAAGGCTGGAGAGGCATTTCACAGTTTCTCGAGCTAAGGAGACAGATGCCTCATCCTTTCCCCCAACACTCGCGTCCCACCTCTTCTGGTCAGTCCTCTGTGACTGCTCCTGCTCCTACTGATTTCACTTGTTTGAATCCTAGATGTAGCAGATTAGGACTTAATTGTTCCGCCTTGTTGATTTGGCTCTCCAAGTAGATTGTAAATTCCTTTAGGGCAAGAACACAGAATCATACTTCTTTGTTAACTTTTTAGTCCAAGCACAGTGCTAGGCTCATGGTGGACAATCAATACAATTTGTGGGTGATTTGTTGGGTCACTGACATTCATTTTTCTTTCTTGCATTTCAGGAGGGGGTAGGGCGGTGGGGGCGGAGGAGTCAGAGATCAAGAGAAGTCTTGAGAGGTCAAGGGTATGATGGTTAATAATGATAATAGTTACACTTTATTGAGCAGCTCCTATCTGATAGCCTCTGTGCTTGTGTTTTATAACACATTAAATACTTATATCTGATCCTTATAAGAACACTGGAAGGTAGGTATTTTTATCCCTCTTCTACAGAGAGATTAAACAATAGTTTATAACATGTGGAGCCATGATTGGAACCCCATTCCAAATCGTGTACTCCGCAGAGGTGTAGCCTGGAGGAGGTGTAGCCAGGAGGAGGGGCAGTGTGAGAGAGGGCGGGTAGGGGGGATGTATTGGTGGCGACACTGACCAAGGGCCTCCAAGGCCCTACGCCCTAGAGGGAAGACAGCAAGGCGCTGCCACAAACTTTGCTCTGGGCCTTTTGTGCACCAGCAGGAGAAATGGCCTAGTTCTTGACCCCTACCTTCCACCAAGATTTACATTAATTCCTAATGCCCCATTTCTTTTTGGTTTTTGAAGGCAATTGAGAGATTTGAATTGGAGAAGAAGGTTTTAAGAGAAAAAAGTCGCAGCGGCCCAGGAGACAGAGGCAAAAATCCTTTCTCATAGCTTTGATGGTGTTTTCATGGTGGTTTTTGTTTTTTGTTTTTTTGGTATCTAAAATGCAATTGATTGGAAATCCAGAGTTTCAGATGAGGATATTTTTGTCCTCTTCTGAAGGGGCCTTAAATCTGACTTCTTGCTTTGGGCAAGGAATGAGGGAAGGACAATACCATTTAGAGACTACCTCCTACGTGATACGTTGCACCAAGGTGCTTTCATACGTATTCCCCTGTTAAATCTTCGTGACGCCCCTCCCTGTGAGGTAGGTACCACTGAATATATTTTATAGATGAAGGAACAGGTGTAGGGGGAAGGAAACAACTTGCTGAAAGTCACACAGCTTGCCTGTGGCAGGTCCTGGATCCGTCCCTGCCTCATTTCAAAGCCCATGCTTCATCTGCTCCCCTAGCTGCGTTTCTGGCTCGAGCAGCCTAATCAAATAAGGGCGGGTATCTGAGTAAGTCAGCAACACAGGTGGGAGCTAGTGGACTAGCAGAGTGAGTGTCGTCTGGCAGCTCAGGTTGAATGGAAAATCACAGTTGTAGGAGCTGCGCAGCAGTGGGCAGACCCTGTGGTTACTCACGTCTTCTCTCTCTTCTTCTGCAGACAAGAGTCAAAGAAAAGCACAGTATATTTGCAGAGGCTCAGCATCCAGGAACGTCAAATCTTTCATTATTAAAAGGGTAAGGGGTCTATTGCTGGGTCTGTTTCAGACTGGTTTCTGCAGGGCATGAAATAGACTTTATTCCTAGAGAGGGAATCCTTGGCACCTGGTTGGTGATTGTGCAGGAAAATTGCAGAGTTTCCTTTTTAGAGGATCTTAAAGTATCTTAATAACGCTAGAATTTCTCATAACACCGCTGAAAGGGTAGAACGAGGAGTGTTCCAGGGGTCATTTGTCTGTTTCCCCGTAGAAACAATGAGTTCAGATTCAGCTCACACAGAGCCACTGTTCTGCACAGCTCCCGGGCCGTTCCTACAGCGGCGCTAGTCACGTTGGTCACTGCAGATGCTCCGGGAAGCTGAGGTTCAAGAGGAGTGAGATGACCTGTCCAGCATCATGCAGCCTGTTGACGGCAGAGCCCCGCTTCCGCTCAGATCCTCAGACCCGAGGCTGGGCTCTGTCGGCTATCTATCCAGCAGCAATCTGGCCGCCAGTTAAGATTCGCCTAAGCTTGCTCCTTAAACTACCCAGGTCATATGTATTCAATCTTTAAGTGCTGGAGGATGTGAACCAGGATGGCATTGTTATCCTTTGTTCACCTTGTAGCCTAGGAAATTCCCACACAGCATAAAGCCCAGTAGTTGAGAGTCTGCCTCGAAACTGTCATACTACCCATGATGGTGGCTGAGCAGATTTAAATGTCCTGCCCATGGTGGCACAGCTAGTAAATGGTGGAACTGACATCTGACCCCAGGTCGTCTGACTCAGAGTCAGGGCAGTTAATCACTGAGGTTTTCCATCCTCAACGCCACAGCCCAGTGAGAGAGTAATTCAGTCCCTCAGAATGTTTCCAGGAGGTGCCTTTGGGTGATGGTAATTGGTTTCCTCTTTACTTGCCTTTATTTTTACATTTTTAATAGTCATCATATTTTATTTTTGTTCTAAAAATCCATTTAATGATATATTTTAAGAACCATAGAAATAGTCATATCCTTTGATCTAATATTGCCATTTTGAGAAATTCATACTAAATAACCCAAAAGGGGGAGAAATATATGCTCCAAGTTATTAATGACATTAATATTAATTGGAAGTGAGCAGTTAATTAAATTATAGCACATCTTCTGAATGGGGTATATTATTTTAATGATAAATGTGAAGACAATGTAGCAATGTGAAAAATCTAAAGTTAAGTGAATAAAGCAGGACATAAAAGTGTGTGTGTGTATACGTATTGTAAAATGATTGAAGTTACACGTACGTATTTGTATACATGTGCTCAAAACCTGAAAGGGAAAAGAGAAATGATGTAAATAGGTGTTCGGTAAGGGGTGCTGGGATCTTGAACGCGTCCTCATTTATTTCAGCGTTCTGTAAAGTTGTTAAATTGTCTTCATAATAAAAAAGGGGAGGATATCCTATTGTTTTAAACTATCAAGATGAAGGACCCCATTTTCATATTCTACTTTTTTGCTTCAGAAAACAGCAGATAAAAACCTGCTGGCAGAGCTGTACCAGTATACACAATTTAACAACTCTATGCCAAACGAGCTTCCAAATGGGGTGGACTTCTGTGACATGGTGGGCAATGTGATCCGGGCTGAGAGAAACCCCATTAGTGGCAAGGTAAGGCGAAAGAGCAGGCAGCTCACCTCTGTGACACCCAGCCAACTTTACAGCAACCCGTGTGGCAGGCAGACACAGCTGTCCCAGTTTTAGACCCTGGGAAACAGAGTCAGGGCAATTGAGTAAGCCGCCGAGGGCTATACAGTTTGCAAGTGACTGAGCCGGGATTAGAACCCAAGCCCATGTTCCCTCCAAAACCTAGGTTTTTTTCTGCCAGAGCACTGGTCTCCAGACTGTTTTGATCGTGTATCCTATTAGCAAAAATGTTGAGTATACACCCTCATGATATATGTTTGTGTATAAATGATATAGTGTTCTGCTGGCACTTGCTACGTTGTGTATTAGTAAACTTAATTTCTTTTTTTTCTCCATTAGACAGTAGTTAGAATATTTTCTTCCCAGGCCCCATGGTACTCCTTGGGGTGGGTCGCCCACTTGGAGAGCAGTGCACCAGTTTCCTCAGGAAGGGAGGACAGACAGTCCCCAACTTGTGATGGTTTGTACGATTTTTCAACTTTACGATGGTGCAAAAGTGATACACATTCAGTAGAAACTGCACTTCAAATTTTGAGATTTGTTCTTTTCCCAGGCTAGTGATATGCAGTAAGGTACTCTCTCCTGATGCTGGGCAGCCATGTGATCCTGAGGGTAAACAATTGGTACACTTACAACCATTCTGTTTTCACTTTCAGTACAGTGTTCAATAATTACATGAGATATTCAACACTTTATTATAAAGTAGGCTTTGTGTTAGATGATTTTGCCCAACTGTAGGCTAATGCAAGTGTTCTCAGCACATTGAAGGCAGGTTAGGCTCAGCTGTGATGTTCGGTAGGTTAGGTATTTTTTGTGTGTGTGAGGAAGATTAGCCCTGAGTTAACATCCATTGCCAGTCCTCCTCTTTTTGCAGAGGAAGATTGGCCCTGGGCTGACATCCTTGCCCATCTTCCTCTACTTTATGTGGGATGCCTGCCACAGCATGGCTTGATAAGCAGTATGTCTGTCCCCTCCTGGGATCCAAACCTGCGAACCCTGGGCCACCAGAACTGGAGTGCGCGAACCCAACCACTACGCCACCAGGCTAGCCCCTTAAATGCATCTTTGACTTAACGATATTTTCAACTTACCAAGGGTTTATCAAGAAGTAACCCATCGTCAATCAAGGAATATCTGTGTTCTAAGGCCCAGAAGAACCTGTGTGTGTATGTGAGAGGATGCTGGCCCCTCAGGAGGTGGGGCATGATTGTGAGGAGGTGTGAAGGGGGGAGGAAGCCGAGGAAATGGTCTTGGCATCCCTGCAGCTGTGCCTCATCACCCTTCGTGATTGTACAGTAACTCTTGTGTCCCCAAGGCAGCTCTGGTCATTGCCTCTCAGCTCCTTACTAGTCACCCTACCATTCCTGGGACCCATCTTCTTAGTGTCTTCTACCTGTCCTTCTCACTGCTGCTTCAAACCACACACCTGCTCTCTCTCTTTCTATTTCTCTCTCTGCCCCTCTCTCTCTTCCCCACTGTCTCTCCCCCTCCCCTCTGCCTCTCCCTCTTCCCCTCCCCGTCCTTCCTTCTCCTCCTCTATTCTTCATGAGTTCTCCCTGCTGCCTTCTCTCTGGCTGTGCCTCTGCGTCAGTCCCATCTGTCTCATTCCTCCGTGTCTTACATTCAGACTTCCTAACAGCGATGATCTGTTTGGGCCAGTCACTGCCCACTATGACAGTGGTGTTTGCTGGAGTTCCAGTGCCAGGCTCCAGCATGGACTGTGGTCAGTGAGTGGACAACTGCCTTTCACCAAGTCTCTGGACCAGGCAGTAGTCACCCTGGGGTCAGGTATCTGATCCCCTGCTTTCCTCAGCAGAGAGGCGGAGGAGCGGCAGGCACTCAGAGCATCACATTCTCTCCAGAACAATGTAAAAAGGTGTTCACCATGTTGTTATTTATGATAACAAGGAACTGGAAGGTAGTACATCGTGGTGCTTAAGTGGCTCTCTGGGCTCTAGCTTCTTCTCCTGTAATGCAGAGATAATAACAGTCTCTACCTTGAAGTGTTATTGTAAAATAAATAAGATAATATGTATAAAAGCACTTAGCACAGTGCTTAGTAAGTCATAAGCTCTCAAAAAATGGTAGTTTTTATTATCAGTTATTAAAAACAGTTTAATGATCAGTAATAGAAGGATAGTACAGTCATTTTCAGTATATATATTATGGACTACTTAGCCATTAAATGAATGTTTATAAAGAGTGTATTCTAATAGGCTATGCTATGATGGTAAATGAAAAATATCAGCATATAAAACGCTCTACAATACAATGTTATATAAGCACACAGGAAAATCCAGGGATGAAACCATACATAGATATTACCACTGTTCTCTCAGTGATAAGATTATGTTTTCTTCTTCTTCTTTTTGCTATAATTTAAAAAGGAAAGAAGACTCAAGAATGAATGGATTGGGTATTTCATGGATTCATTGTTGCTGGGTGACCTTCCAGCCTACGTTCTTGCTTGCCCTTGACAGGCCCACTGGCACAGCCACACGAGCTCGTGTTCCATTTGCTGTGTGGGTAGCCCTGAGGACAGTGACTACTATGTTACTTAATGTTCCATTTTTGAGGTGCCATGGGGAATGTTTTCCTTAGGTTTTAATCCCAAGAAAAACTGTGCATCTCCTGGAATGCTTTTAGTCTTAAACTGATGCTGTTTTCCTGCTTTTCTTTGGCTCCTGGGAAATGCAAGGCAAATTTGTGCCTCACCTTTAAAAGGATCCTCTTCCATCCTGCTCAGGGGCCATCCCAGACTTTTACTTGCCTCCTCCAATCCTCTCCTCCATCCCCTCCCCCTCACTCTTGGCAGCTGACTTTGCCTCTGCTTCAGAGAATCTGGAGGCCATTGCTAGACCAGGAGCTCCATGAGGACAAAAGCCCCGTCTCCCTTGCTCAGTAGTGCAGCCCCAGCTCAGCACTGAGGCTCGCCTGAGACTTCTCAGAAGAGCTGCCACACTTGCTGGCTTCACTTTCTCACCTCCAGTCTCTCTTCGTCCTGCTGCAATCTGGTTTCCCACCTTCATTCCATCACTGAAAGTGGCCCACGTCAATCCACCATTAACTCTCATATTGCCAAGTCCAAAGGATGTATTTCTGTTGTTATCTTAGATGACCCCTCTGTAGAATTGACCCAGAGGATGACTCCCTGCACCTGAAATTCTTTTCTTCCTTGGTTTCTGTGGTGGCATTCTCCCTCTACTCAGGTAGCACCATCTTGGTCTTCCAAGCCCCTCACCGTCCATGTTCATGGAGAGCATGTTCACGGACACTGGTAATCTCCTCCCCACATGCGGCTAATCACCGCTTAGGAACTGTGTCACTACCTCCAAACCCTTTGCTGTGCTCCTGAGTCCCATATTCCTCTGCCTCCTCTCCCCGATGTCCCTCAGACTTCTCAGACTCGTCAGACCTGCTTCTCCTCCTGGGTTCCCTATCTTGTTGAAAACCACAAACTTCCACTTGGGCACCAACCCGGCTCCTCCCTTACACTCATTCCACATCCGAGAGGTCATTAGATTCAACTACCATCTTTACTGTACCTCCTCCTCCTTCCCACTGACACTGCCAAGTTCAGGCTCCACAGTTTCCTGTCTGGATCGCTTCACCTGCTTCCCAGTGTGTCATCTGCCTTGCTATCTCAATCCCCTCAATACTTCTTTTATACTGCCTCCAGGGATCTTGCTAGAACACCAACCTCACGGGTTACTGCCCTGTTGAAACCTTATCAGTGCTGGCTGCTACCCTTCCCCTGTCCAGTTTCAGAGTAACTCTCAGCCCCAGCACCCAGGTACCTCACGGTCTGGCTCCTGCCTGGCCTCACTACCCACACCCAGTGCTTCCACTGTGCAGAAACCCTTTGAAGTTCCCTAAGTGTGCTGTGCAGTTCCACAACCTTGGCACATGCTTTTTTCCTTTCTGCGGAGCTCTCAGCTCTCCCTTCTTCGTCCTGTTATTTTTACTCTTAAAACCTTCCCTGGTACCCCCAGCACAGATTAGATGCCCCTCCAGGCTCCACGTCCCCCTGGGATTCCTTCTCTCAGGGCACATATCACACTGCATTGTAAATGTCTGTTTACCTGTGAACACCTCAAGGGCAGGGACTCTCCATCACCATCCCAGTATCTGTTGAGGGGCTAAAATGAAATCCTTTTTGAAACAAGCAGGAGGGTGGATAAATAAACAATGAAGAACTAGCACACTTCTCGTGCTTCCCTGGCGCCTGGCACTGTTCTCAGTTCTTTGTGTGTATCAGTCACTCATTTAATCCTCACAGCCATCCTCGAGGAGGGACTGTTATCATCATCATCTCCATTTTCCAGTGAGGAAACTGAGCACACACAGCTTCAATAACAGCTAACAAGTGTAAGAGCTAGATGTGAACCAGGCATTCTGGTACCGACGTCTGTGCTCTTAACCACCCCACTAAACTGCCTCACTCAGGAAATGGGAGGAAGGGTGAAAAAGAGCCAAGAGCAGAGCTGGAGAGCTCCTTGCTAATGAGGGAGGTTTGCCTGTTAATGCACGCTGCCCTCGGCTTCCACAGGCTTGAAGGGAGAGCCAAGGAGTCTTTCTCTTTGTGTCCAGGAGGGTGGCAAGAGCACGATCTCTTTGCTCTTCCTAATGGTGAGAGGAGAGGCAGCCTGTGTGGTGTCTCTGGGGTCAGGCTGCCTGCTTTCGAACTTCCGGGCTATGTGAGTTTAGGCAAGAATCCTAACCTTTCGATCTTCACTTTCCTCTTCTATAAATTGGGGATAGCTATAGTATCCACCACATAGATAGCTTGTGAAAAATGAAGTGTGATAAGGTGCACAGCCAAACACATAGTAAAAATTCAACAAATGTTACCTATTATTACGGAAATAGCTTTGGAGTCAGGGCAAGGTTCAAGACCCGGTTGTGTGAGAGTGAAGGCTGAATTTTCTGCCCCTCTGAGTTCACTGATAATGCTATTCTAGTTTTAGAATTCCATATGCTTACTACTAACTCAGCAGAATCTTATAGTCCATTGATTTGCATTTATAGTATCTGGTTTGTTGATATTGATTACTGTTGATTGAACATAGGTGAGAGCATAGAGCAGCTGTCTAGAGTTATGGGTTTTGATCCTGGCTCTTCCGTTTGTTGGCTGTATTATTTTGGGCCAGTGACTCCAGCTCTCTGGTCCTCGGTTTCCTCATCTGTGAAATGGAGATAATAATGCATGCCTCATACGATTATAATAATAACTAAATGAGAACATATACAAACACCTGGCCAGGCAGATAGTTGGCACTCACTAAAAGGTTAAGTGTGTTTTTTTTTTTTTGTGAGGAAGACCGGCCCTGAGCTAACATCTATTGCCACTCCTCCTCCTTTTTTTATTTATTTTTTTCCTTTTTCTCCTCAAAGCCCCAGTAGATAGTTGTATGTCATAGCTGCACATCCTTCTAGTTGATGTATGTGGGGACGCCACCTCAGCATGGCCAGACAAGCGGTGTGTCAGTGCGTGCCCGGGATCTGAACCTGGGCCACCAGTAGCAGAGCGTGCGCACTTAACCGCTAAGCCATGGGGCCGGCCCCTAAGTGTGTTTCTTTTAGGTTGACTCCAAAGGATTTTGACTCCAAAGATGACTGGTGGAAAGATGGTGCAATTAATAACAATAACAAGCCATGGGACAGGAGGAAAGGCAGGTTTTGAGTGGAGATGATTAGGAATCTGGCTGTGGCTCCAGGTGAATAAAAAGACAAAAGAACAATAGCAACAACAATAATAATGTGAATTTTGTTTCTTTTCAAGTCTTTCTGTTCAGATAGAGAATTAGAGAAGTTTCTCTCTTCTCCTTCTCTAAGAGCCATATGGCTGGATAGCTTCTGGTGGATGTTTCATGAAAGGTACCAGGTAAATGCAAATCTGGTTGATTCTCTCCCATGCTTAAGTTATTTTTCTATGGAACAAATCCAGCCTCTTCAATGTGGGCTATAAGCCCCTCTGATTCCATGGACCACCCTGCAGCCTCATCTGTCACCCCATCCCTTCCCCACCCCTACCTGGCCCTATACCCTATGCTTCAGCCATTATACAATGTCTTGTGGCTCCCCTGAGCTTTAGGAACTGGTCCGTGTCACGTAGCTGGTCAAGGGCAGGGCCGAGAGTAAAGTCAGGACCTCCTGGCCTAGAGTTAGGGTGCTTTTTTCAACACTTTACTTCTATATACATGTTTTATAAATCCAAATTAGTATATTATTTCATAAATAATATGAGGTTAAATACCTTGAGAATAAGTTTCCTAAAAATGAGAGAAATACTTATTTAAGAATCTCAGCCCTTGGCTGTTTCATCAAGGAACTCTAGTAATTTCTTCTCCATTTTTATTTCTGATAGCCAAACAAGGAGGTCCAGAATAAGCTGTTCCACAGGATATCCCAACACTATGCCTTTCTTTTGCTTCAGGAACCCAGGTCCCACTATGAAGAGGTTCTCTTAAAAGTGAGCATCAACCACTGTTTAGAAAAAAATCACATTAGATATCTATTCACTTCTAATGCCAATAGAATGCCTTTAACATTCTTTCCATAGGGAGTAATAAGTACGTTGTGATATATCCATACACTGACTTGTAATGCAGCAGTTACAAAAAATAAGGTAGATCTATATATATACTGATTGGGAAAGATGTAATGATATATTTCAAGTGAAAAGGCAATTTACACAACTCTATGTAAAAAATATGTATATAAGTATATATGTGTGTGTGTCTATGAATAGGAAAAAAATCTGGAAAAATATTTACCAAACTCTTAGCAATGGTTATCTTTGGGGAATGAGGTTATAAGAGGCTTCCTTTTCTATTTTATATATTTCTCTAGTATTTAAATAAGCATGTAATTTTAAAATTAAAAGTATGAATATACATATATATTTTTATATGTGTGTAAATATATGTACTAAAAGGATTGCTAGAAGAAAATATAAGTGAATATTCACATGATTTGAGGGTGGAGAAGGACTTTCTAAATATGATCCCAAGGAAGTAACCATAAAGGAAAAGACTGATCAATTTAACTATATAAATTATTTAAATTACTACAGTCAAAAGGCAAAGGCAAAACTATGCAAAATGTATAGTCAAATGTATCTGGTAGCATATATGTCACACAACATAAAGAACTCTTACAAATCGATAAGAAAAAATGAAACACCTCATAGACCAATGGACAAAGTATATAAACCAGAAATTCACCCGGGGAAATGCAAAAGGGAAAAAAAGTTCACCCTTAACAATAATCAAAAGTAGAAATTAAAACAATAATCATTCAATACCCCTTTTTACCTGCTAGATTGCATAGATTAAAGAGTGTGATTCCCAGGGTTGTGAAGGATTTAGGGAAATGGCACTGTGAGGGTCTGAATTGGTACAATTATACTGAAAGGCACTTTTACTAATTAAGTGTCTGCTTAACAAGTCACTTAGGCTTTCTGTGTCTCAGTTTCATCATCCATAAAGTGGGGATAGTAATGCCTCTCTCACTGACTTGTCCTAGGTATTAAATGAGATGATGTTTATAAGGCATCTGACATACCGCCCAGTATATAATAAGCCCCTAATATATCATAGCTGCTATAATTACTATTATTACACTGTCTTCTGGAGGACATAATCTAATATACAGGAAAAGCTACTTTGATTCATGCATTCAACAAATCTGGCCTACTATGTGCCAGACACTGAGATAGCTTAATAAATAAAAATAATTATTCCCCATGGTTTGTAATGCAAAATCTTAGAAACAAGACAATATCCACCGATGGGGGATGTTTAAATAAATTTTGATGTGTCCACTCAGCACAATATTATGAAGGTCACTATAGGAAAAAAAAAAAAAATCCCAAAGAGTTTATAACAACTCGGAGAAGTGCTTATGTTATAACATTAAATGAATAAAGCCAGATATAACTGTATAATTTGAGCTCAACCATAGTTAAGAAGCAACAAGAGAACGACCTGTGCATAGGAAAAAAAATACTAAGTAGTACTGACTATTTTCTCTGGGAGACAGAGAGATGGTAGGTCAAATATATCTTGTCATCTTCTGGGTTACTGTTTGACCAAGTTGTGGAAGGGGCTGAGCCACAGACCACGTTCAGAGCAGCTGGGGAAGGGGGAGGTTGCTGGCCACACATAGCATAGCGTGGTGTTTGAGGAGTGGTCCCAGGTAAGGTGAGGAGTCCGCTGAGATGGGGGGCAGCTGCAGATGGAAAGCACCTCCTCGTGGCGAGGAAGGCAGACAGTGTTGGGTAGAGAGTTTCATGACAGATTCTTTCTGAAGTCAGGGGTTCTTTTCTGGGTGTGGAAGTGTCCAGAACGTTGCCCGAGCTCTGCTTGCCCCCTAGAGGTTGCCATCACTTCTGAGTAAAGCCCTGTACACCAGCTTCTGTTGCTGCTTCCCGCAGTCCTGGTTCAACACACATGAATTCAAGTCTGCGATCTGTAACACGATGAGCCTGTGGATTTCAGGTAAGAAGTGGCTGCTTTCTCCTGGGAAAGCAATTCCGGAAACGCCTTTTCCACCGGAGCCTAGGTATGTCGTTGTTTGCCATCACACCGTTCACGGGGACAGTTGTCCTTTTCTTTCCTTGACGTTCAAGAAAGTGAAGTGTGCGGTTAGAGCCCCAAGGAGTCCCGATTTTCCTGCTTCTTCGAAACAGTTCTGAGACCTTCCAAATTGCCCTTTTGTGCCCAGCTGCATCTGCAGGGAGCAGGTTTCAGCACAGCCCCATTAGTTAGCCTTGTGCTGTGGGCTGATGGACCCAGAACTCAGGAACCCAAAAGCAGTGTGCCGGTCAGATAATCCTACCCTTCCACCCGCCCTGTGACCCCAAGTGGCCCAACCATGGTCCCCTCTCCCTGCAGCACACACAGTGCCAGTTTGCTTTTCAGTCTCCTTCCCCACTTCCCCAATCTCAACGCAGACATTTTCTAAGGTCATTAAAAGCTACTATTTATTGAGAGGTTCCTGTGTCCTCGGTACTATGTTAAGTAAGCACTTTTACATTTCCTGCTGTGTTGGGAGTCTCCAAGATCACTCCCACATTAGGAGGTTTGCTCGGAGAACTCACACATCTCAGCGTATTGTTATATTCATGGCTAAGACTTCTTATAGAGACATAGTAAGGCTACCCGGCCAGATCTTTAGGGGAAAGACAGGCAGGGTTGGTCATGTGTAGGCTTTCTTATGCTTGCTCCCTCCCATGAGGGGTTATGCAATCCCTCTGGGATGAAAATGTAGCAACGTGTGATGTTTCTGCCCAGGGAAGCCCATTAGAGGAGCAGCGCCCAAGGTTTTTATTGAAGGCTGGTCACGTAGACACCTCTATCATGTACCCAACTTCCAGGAAAGCAGGTATTTAGCATAAGCCACATTGTTTTACAAACAGTCTGAGCACAATGAGCCGCTGTTGTCAGGGAAAAATTTCCCCCCAGATATATTGAGATGTAATTGATGTATAACACTGTATAAGTTTAAGATGTAGAATGTGATGATTTGATACATGTATATATTGCAAAATGTTTACCACAATAAGCTTAGTTAACACATCCTTCACCTCACTTAATTACCATTTTGTTGTTGCTATGGTGAGAACAGATTTACTCTCATAGCAGCTTTGAAGTATGTAATGCAGTATTGTTAGCTATAGTCACCATGCTGTACGTAAGAGCCCCAGAATTTGTTCCTCCTATTACTAGAAGTTTATACCCTTTGACCAACATCTCCTCATTTCCTCCACCCTGCTAGCACCTGGCAAACACCATTTTACTCTCTGCTTCTATGAGTTCAGCTTTTTTAGATTCCACACATAAGTGAGATTATACAGTATTTGTGTTTCTCTGTCTGGCTTATTTCACTTACCATAATGTCCTCAAGGTTCATCCTTGTTGTCACAAATGGCAGAATTTCCTTTTTTTTATGGCTGAATAATATTCCATTGTGTATATATACTGCATTTTCTTTATCTGTTGATGGACACTTAGGTTGTTTCCGTGTTTTGGCTACTGTGAATAGTTCTGCAGTGAACGTGGGAGTGCAGATATCTCTTTGGGATAATGATTTCATTTCCTTTGAGTATATATCCAGAAGTGAGATTCCTGCATCATATTGTAGTTCTATTTTTAATTTTTTGAGGAATTTTCTTACTGTTTTCCATAGTGGCTACACCAATTTACATTCCCACCAACAGTGCACAAGGGCTCCTTTTTTTCCCACATCCTTGCCAGCATTTGTTATCTCTCATTTTTTTTTTTTTTTTGTGAGGAAGATTATCCCTGAGCTAACATCTGTTGCCAATCTTCCTCTTTTTGCTTGAGGAAGATTGTCCCTGAGCTAATGTCTGTGCCCATCTTCCTCTATTTTGTATGTGGGAGGCCACCACAGCATGGCTTGGTGAGTGGTGCTTAGGTCCGTGCCCAGGATCTGAACCTGTGAACCCCGGGCTGCCAAAGCTGAGCGCATGAACTTAACCACTACACCACCGGGCCAGCCCATCTCTTGTCTTTTTGATAATAGCCATTCTGACAGGTGAGAGGTGATATCTCATTGTGGTTTTGATTTGCATTTCCCTGATGATTAGTGATGTTGAGCACATTTCAGGTACCTGTTGGCCATCTGTATGTCTTCTTTGGAAAATGTCTATTCAGGTCCTTTGCCCGCTTTTTAATCAGGCTATTTGTGTTTTTGCCATTGAGTTCTATGAGTTCCTTGTATACTTTGGATATTAACCCCTTATCAGATACATGATTTGCAAATATTTTCTCTCATTCCATAGGTTGCCTTTTCATTTTGTTGTTTCTTTTGCTGTGCAGAAACTTTTCAGTTGGATGTAGGACCGCTTGTTGATTTTTGCTGCTCATGCTTTTGGTGTCATATCCAAAAAATCATTGCCAAGACTCACATCAAAGAGCTTTTCCCCTGTATTTTCTTCCAGGAGTTTTATGGTTTCAGATCTCACATTTAAGCCCTTAATCCATTTCGAGTTAATTTTCGTGAGTGGTGTAAGATAGGGGTCCAGTTTCATTCCTTTGTATGTGGCTGTCCAGTTTTCCCAACACCATTTATTGAAGAGACTATCCTTTCTCCATTGAGTATCCTTAGCTCCATTGTCAAATATTAATTGACTGGATATGTGTGGGTTTATTTCTGGGCTCTCAATTCTGTTTTATTGATCTATGTGTCTGTTTTTATGCCAGTACCATACAGTTTTGGTTTCTATAGCTTTGTGATATAGTTTAAAATCAGAGAGTGTGATGCCTCCAGCTTTGTTCTCTTTCTTTTTTTCTTTTTTCTTTTTTGGTGAGGAAGATTGGCCCTGAGATAACATCTGTTGCCAATCTTCCCCTTTTTGCTTGAGGAAGATTGTCCCTGAGCTAACGTCTGTGCCCGTCTTCCTCTATTTTGTATGTGGGAGGCCACCACAGCATGGCTTGATGAGTGGTGTAGGTCCACACCCGGGATCTGAACCCCCATACCCCAGGCCACCCAAGTGGAGTGCGCAAACTTAACCACTATGCCACTGGGCCAGCCCCTACTTTGTTCTTTTTCAAGATTGCTTTGGCTATTTGGGTTCTTTTGTGGATCCATACAAATTTTAGAACTTTTTTTCTATTTCTGTGAAATATGCCATTGGAATTTTGAGAGAGATTGCATTGAATCTATAGATGTCTTTAGATAGCATGAACATTTTGACAATATTAACTCTTCCAATCCATGAACATGGGGTATCTTTCCACTTCTTTGTGTCTTCTTCCATTTCTTTCATCAGTGTCTTATAGTTTTCAATATATAGATCTTTCACTTCCTTGGTTAAATTTATTCCTAAGTCTTTTATTGTTTTTGATGTTGTAAATGGGGTTATTTTCTATATTTCTTTTTCAGATAGTTTATTGTTAGTGTATAGAAACACAACTGATTTTTTTATGTTGATTTTATATCCTGAAACTTGACTGAATTTATTAGTTCTAACAGTTTTTTGGTGGAGTCTTTAGGTTTTTCTATATACAAGATCATGTCATCAGTGAACAGGGACAACTTTACTTCTTCCTTTCAGATTTGGATGCCTTTTATTTCTTTTTCTTGCCTAATTGCTCTGACTTCCAGTACTATTTTGAATAGGAGTTGTGAGAAGTGGGCACCCTTGTCTTCTTCCCGATCTTAGAGGAAAAGCTGTCAACCTTTCACTGTTGAGTATGATATTAGCTCTGGGCCTGTCATATATGGCCTTTATTATGTTGAGGTATGTTCCTTCTGTATCCACTTTGTTAAGAATTTTTACCATGAAATGGTGTTGAATTTTGTCAGATGCTTTTTCTGCATCTATTGAGATGATCATATGATTTTTATCTTTCATTCTATTAATGTGGTGTATCACATTTATTGATTTGTGTATGTTAAATCATCCTTGCATCCCAGGGGTAAATCCCACTTGATCATGATGCATGATCCTTTTAATGTACTGTTGAGTTTGGTTTGCCAGTATTTTGTTGAGAATTTTTGCATCTATATTCATCAGGGATATTGGCCTGTAGTTTTCTTTTCTTGTAGTGTCCTCATCTGGCTTTGATATCAGGATAACGCTGGCCTCCTAAAATGAATTTGGGAGTGTTCCTTCCTCTTCAGTTTTTTGGAAGAGTTTGAGGAGGATTGGAGTTAATTCTTCTTTAAATGTTTGGTAGTATTCATCTGTGAAGCCATCTGGTCCGGGCTTTTCTTTGTTTGGGTGGTTTTTGATTACTGATTCAATCTCCTTACTCATTATTTGTTCAAGTTTCCTATTTCTTCATGATTCAGTCTTGGTAAGTTGTATATTTCTAGGAATTTCTCCATTTCTTCTAGGTAGTTAGGGAAAGTTTTATATCAGGGTAAGGAAATGTTTACCAGCCAAGGGCCAACCTTGCAAGCAGGCCTTTTCTAAGGCCAGCAATCTTGGGCCTGCTATGTTAACTCCTTTCTGCACACTCATTTAATCCTCTTAACATACACAGGATCAGAGAAGTCCAACAGCAAACAAATGGGAGAGCAGGCATTCAGATCCAGGCTGTCCCACTGCAAAGCTAGGTCTTCAACCACTGTGCCATCCTGCCTCCTATTCTCTGACTCTTTTCTTTCTGTTCCTCCTTCCTATTCCCCTTTTTGTCCAAGGCTGTACCTCCTCCTGATTCATCCCAGTAATAAACTTTCTGTCCTCTTACTTTGTCCAGTAGAATAGCAGCTTTGCATAGGGGCTCAAATTTCTCAAGTAATCCTTGGTCTTTTCCTTTCTAAACCAAAGAACTGAGGGAGACAGCGGGGTCCCTATAATGTCTGAGAGTTCAGGTTCTAAGAAGCCAAGACTTTGAAACACATGATTTCCTCAAAAGAAAAGCATTAGCCCTAAAAGCATGACCATCAGATATTTAGGGCGAACCCATTTCTGGTACTAAGTGTGATAATATGTTGAACAAACACTTACTAAGTACCTCTTTATTATGTGCCAGGTTCAACACTAAGCTCTGGAGGTGCAAAGATGAATAAGACCCAGCCCGGGCCCTCCAGGAGCTCAGAGTCCAGTGAGAGCAGAGGAGATGGACAGGAAAACAAATAACTATAATGCCTTCACATCTGTATAGCGCGTCACACGCTCACATGTCCATGGTGATCTGACCCTCACATCCAGCTGTCAGGGGTGCAGGGTGGGCATCACCATCTCCATTTTCCAGATGAAGAAACCAAAGCCTCCTAGAGAGGGGGTGACTGTCCAAGGCCACAAGGCCAGTGTTGGGGGGCTAATGCTGGAGGCCCACCCTCCCCAGAACCAGCAGGGGCATCTCCGAGGCCTCTGTCTTCCGTTTTCTGCCTCCCATTCTCTTCTGTGGAAGTTTTCATTATCACTCTTGACTCCCTCTTAGGTATATATCCTTGCCCAGAGAGCTATAACAGCTGGAACTACTCGGAACTGGATCCAGAGAGATTCCGAAGAGAAGAATTACTGTTGCAGAGAAGAAGACTGATAAAGGGTAAGGAACCACTTAGGGCCGTCTGCCGCCTTTGCCCTGGCCACACCAGCCGCCATCTAGTTAGGGCAGGGAAGGCCTTAGTACTGAAGTCCTCAGGCCCAGTTCTCTCACATACCCCTAAACTAGCCACCAGACATTTCATGAGTGAAATGTGAATGCTTAGGGACTGTAGGTAGAGTCAGCGCAGCATAATTGTTGGGATGTGGGGGTGGGATTCTATATTATAGTCGTAGGTGCCAGTTATAGGGGTCTACTGGGTGCCAGGCACCATGCTGGGCTCTTTCTCCTTTTAATTTAATCCTCACAACAACCGGCTGAAGTACGCACAAATCTACTTCACAGATGAGGAAACTAGAGTTCAGAGAGCAACTTTGCCAAGGCCAGCTTTCTTATTCCACTCAACAGACATGTAAAGAGCACTGGGTGCCTGGCGCTGTGCAAAATAAACACTAGGAACATGGTGTGGGGGCAAGCGCAGCCCCGCTGTGCAGTCTACTGGGAAATGCAGGCAACGCAATTAGACTGCAGTGGATTGAGCACTGTGATGGAGAATACGGGGTGCTGAGGCAGCACGGGGATGGGCACCCGGTCCAGCCCTGAGAGGGTCAGTAAGTGGCATTTAAGCTGAGATTTGAAGGATGTGTGTTTTAGGCAGGTGAAGGGGAGGACTGCTGTTCCAGACAGAGGGAACAGCGTGAGAGAAGACCCAGAGGCATGAGGGGAACAGAGAGGCGTTCCTCATGGCAGCAGTGAGAGGACTGTGATGGGTAACCAGCCCGTGGGTGGCAGGATTCAAACTTAGGATTGCAAAGCCAGAGAGACACAGTCTTGGGATATTTGGGTATTTTCTTCTGCTAGGGGATGTCTGCCTCTTTTATGGGGCACCCCAGGGATGCAGCAAAGCCTTGTCTCTAATGATTAACAGGACCAGGGGGCAGACAACATCCGGCTAATCGAATCCCTTAGCAACATCCAAGACCCTTTGGAGATGGGGGGTAAGAGTGAGAAGATTATTTTTTCCTTAAATATGGCAAAAACAATTCATATTGTCAAAGAATATGAGTCTGGGCACATAGCTGTAATCCAATTAACAATCAAAGTAATGCTAATGCATACTGACTTGTTCTCTGCACCAGCCACTGTTTGACTTGTTTTGTTTCATCCCCCCCGACCAACCTTATGAGGGATCCTGTTATCCCCATCATGCAGCAGGAACTGAGGTGCACAGAAGTTCCTGTGCCCAGGGTTCCCCAGCACAGTGGGGAGCTGGGATTTTGCCCAGACAGGCTAATCAGCCTCATGCTTTTGTCAGTCTTTGGTCTCTCTGGCCAGTTAAACCAAGCTCCTCCCTCAATCTGATGCCCTGAGGGAAACTAAGGGCACTGGGCAGAAAGGAGGGAGACCCCCTAAGAGGCAGTGCTGTCTTGTGCCATAGTGAGCTTCCTGTCCCTGGAGGGGCCCTGGCAGAGCTGCTAGAAGGCTGCCTAAAAGGTTCCTTGCTGAGTGAGGAGCCCCCTAAAGACCCTCTCTCTGAAGGCTAGGAACCTGCATAAACAAGGGTGGGGGAATTGTCTCCAAGACCACACTCAGGCTCTGTAATTCCCTAGCAGTGCTCACAGGACCCACAGCTGTGATTTGTTGCAGAGAAAGCACACAAAGCACAATCTACCAGGGGAAGAAGTGCCTGGGGCAAAGTCCAGACAACCTTGGCACAGGCTCCCCAGAGTCTCTCCCAGTGGAGTCACACAGGACCCGCTCAGTCCTCCAGCAAGGAGTTGTGCCAACACGTGTGAACTGTGCCCACCAGGGAAGCTCGTTAGAGACTTCGTGCCCAGGGTTCTCACTAGGGGCTGATCACACAGGTGCTCCCTGCCTGGCACATACCCAGATTCCAGACTCCCAAAAGGAAATCAGGTATTCTGCGTAAACTGTATTGTTTGTACAAATGGTTTAGACACAGTGAGCCACTCTTACCAGTTAGTGGTGGGAACCTTCCCAAAAACCAAGTCCCCGGATGCCAGCCAAGGGCCAGCCTTAGGCAGGCAGGACTTTTCAAGGACAGCAATCAGGATTGCTGTGTTACCACTTTTCTGCACAGTTGTGAAGATGGATATGAGGCCATAAGGAAGATGGAATCTCATAGAAATCCAAGAGCCCTTCAAGCACAGTAGCTCAGGCCAGGAAGAGGCTGGAGCAGGGAAAGGTTCCAGATTCAAAGCAACTCTAAGCATCTAGCAGCCAGCATTTGCAGATATGCCATTTAGGACTAGGAAGTCAAGAGGAGGATCAGGTCTGCGGAGAAAGGCCATAAGTTCAATTTTAGATATGATAAATTAGAGGAAACAATGGAACATCTGGGTGGAGATGTCCAAGAGGACGTTGGTGACGCTTTTAGGGGAGAGGTCAGGGCTAGGACTCTCAATTGAGAATTTATTCAAATAGATGTGCTCGTTCGTTATCCCTAGATGAGAATATCAAAGGAGGGAGAAGACGAGGGAGTTGAGGTCAGAGCCTTGGAGACCTACATGCAGGAGGCAGAAGAAGAGACTCAGAGAGGCAGGAGGAGCCCAGAGAGAGCAGGGCCAGGGCAGCCAAGGTGGGGCTCCCCTGAGAGACGGTCCACAGTGCCAGCCGCTGCAGAGAGGACCACAGAGCGAGGCCTAGAAGCCAGGGAATCTTGCAGTTAGGTTGTTGGTGATCTTTATCTATACATCAGTTTTATTGAGACATAATTCATATATAAAATTTACCCTTTTAAAGTGTATAATTCAATGGTTTTTAGTATATTCACAAAGTTGTGCAGCTATCACCACTATTTAATTTCAAAGCATTCTCATCGTCTCCCAAAAGAAACCCCCGTTGGTGAACTTTGAGAAAGCTGTTTCCATCCGATTTCAGGGGAAGTGATGCAGAAGTGAAGACAGAGTGTGGCTCATTCTAAAAGCCTCGGCCTGACAGAGAGAAAGGTGTGCTGGAGGAGTTAGCAGGGTTGGGGGTAGGAGAGCCACCCTTGTTTAAACAAACACCATCCCTCTTAGGTACCAGCGGAAAAGAGCAGAAAGAGGATGGGCAGTGGCAGAGGGCAAGGTGGTTCAGGAGCCCCCTCCCTTGAGGCCTCCTCCCTCTGGTTGGTTTCTTGGATGAGGAGGCAGGCTGCTGGGCCCTTGCCTCTCTGCCCCACTGTGGTTCCCATGGTGACATTTCAATGAATACTAAATTTAACATCTTATGAGATTGATAGAGTACTTTTTTAAGCGTTTAATCCAAAATTTATTCATTTCAGTTTTGCAGGGTTCTGGGTTTTTTGTTCTTCTTTTGAAGCCAGTATTTTCTTTTTCCTGTGGGTTAGGTGACTTGCCCGAGGTTACTCAGCAGGTGGAATGACAGAGAAGCTCTGGCTTGCCTGAGGACGGTCCTCTTGTAGTTGCTGTTGTCTCCACGGAGGGGGCTGTCTCAAAGCTCCTGGTCTGTAGTGTCACCCCCCCAAGACCAGAAGGAACTGAAGAACAATTTTTTCTCTTCCCTAGGAAGGGAGTTTTCTTTCCCCACTTCTAAGAGATGCTTCTCCCAGAAGTCCACCCGGAGCAGCAAAGTCCACTGCCGTCAGGTGAGTGGGGAGGCACAGACCCGGACCCTTTGGAGCCCCATAAGCTTCAATGACTTCCCGTGGTTGGCTCCACATCTCTGCGCTCCCTGCCCACCATCTCGGGGAAGGGACCTGGTAGTCCTCCAGATCTCCACGGATGAGTGGAGCACTAAAGGGCAGCCACAGGCATGCTGTGATTGGAAGGAGGGAGGAGAGGAACCACTCTTTAAGAGGAGGCTGCGGCACAAGGTGCATTTATATCTTCTCCACATTGATCCTCACGGCAAGCCTGACCCTGGCTGTGGTCCTGACGCCTGCTGGCTCCTCTGCCCTGCTCATGTTGCCTTCTCCGAACTTCCCGCCACCACTCCTCTCCCTTCCACTCCCGATGCCCCAGTCTGATCCACCGTCACTACTGCACTGGGCTCCAGTCTCCCTCGGGCTCTTTGAACTCCTGCTGTCCTTTCAAAATACAGGTCTAATTATGTCCTCCCGTCTCCACCTGGCCCTGCCCTACACCCCCCCCCCACCCCCACCCTAAACACCCTCCTCCCAGCCCAAATGAAAAACACCTTGCAAACCGCAGAAGGCTTCCTCTTGTCTTGGGGGTAGACTGACCTGTGCGGCCCTGCCAGGTCTGGCCAGCCCCGTCTCCACCTCCGGGGCTCGCGGAGCTCCTGCTGTAGGGCCTTCTTTCGGTTCCTTGTAGACACCACAGTCCGTACCAATACCCGGCCTCTGTACCGGCCGGTCCTCTTGTCCCTGGTAAGCGCCCTCCACCACTGCCATCCTCACTGTCAGCATCTCCTCCCACTGGTAGCATGAAGCTGGCCAAATGCTACCCATCAAGGCCCATTTTTTCCAGAGAGCGGGAAAAAATAATTGTCCAGGCAAACTATGAATGAGGCCTTTCACTGCCTGTTTTTGTAAATAAAGCTTTACTGGCACACAGTCATGGTCACTGGTTGACTCCTGTCTTCAACTATCTTGCAATGGCAGAGTTGAGTGGTCGTTATAGAGACTTTATGGCCTGCAAAACTGAAAGCATTTACTTTCTAGCTCTTTGCAGAAGTTTGCCACCCCTGGCTTGTGGGATACATACTCATCCTTCCATCTCAGCTGAGGCCCTGGTCCTCATGGTCAGCTGTCTTGACCCTGGTCTGGACTCGGCCCCTTGTTATGTGCGCTCATATCCCTGTCCTTCAGAGTACTTATGTAGTCATTCAGGCATTACTCTGATCACAGCTGTCTCCCCACTCATCTTTAAGCTCTAGACCACCATCCCCATCTCTAATACCATGCTTCATCCTTAACAAGTAGCATAAGAGGCTTGATCCATTGTTAGAACAGCCCGCTCCCTTTGTCTGGTGCAGAGTTGGGGGTGTTTCCACCCTGGAGCATTCACCAGAGGGAAGTTTGGGAAAGGTGAAGGGTGTGCCCTTCTTTTGTAAAATGGGATAAGGGCCACTGCCAACACCTGCACGTTCTCAGGACGATCAGTTTTAGAAAAACAGCCTGTAAGGAAATTCGAGAATTTGGAAATGGATGTTCTTAGGACTGGCAGTCCCACTATTCCTTGGAAAGTCTTCGTGTCCCCACAGGGATCAGCAATCTCTGGTTAGGAGCCTGGTCTCTCGGGTTCAGATTCTAGCTGTGTAGCCTTAGGCAAGTTAGTTCCCTAAAACTTGGTTTCTACAGGTGTGAAATGAGCGCAATAACCGCAGTGCCTTCTTCCTGGCCTCCTGAAGCTTGTGGCACATGGCTGTGTGTCTGGGCTCCTATAAATCCACGGCCACACGTCTCAGCGGGGCACTCAGCACTGCCTGCCCGTGCTACCACACTTCCCCAGCGTGTCCAGGCTCCCACTCATCCAAATCCTTATCTCACTCTGTCTCCCTTTTCAGAATTCTTCCACTGCAGTGGGCCTTTCCCACTCGCCCTCCTCCTCAGCACCTCCCGGGGATGTCTCCTCGAGGAATTAGAAGCAGTCAACAGGAAGGTCCTCACCTTCCTGTGGTGAGACAGCCTGCCCCTACCTGTACCCTCACCATCTGCTGGCCCCCTGTGCCTGTGGAGGAAGGACCTGGACCCCGACTTGTGCTCTGGGCCTCGCCCCCTCGGCTTCCACTTCTGCACTTGGCGCCCCTCTTTCTCATGTCATCATTTTCTCCCGCTCTGCTGGATCACTCCCATCATTGAACAGTCCTGCTCTAGCATGCCTTGCCTTTACAAAGAAAACCTCCTTTGCCTCTGCAACCCCATTTCCTGCTGCCTTTCCCACCAGAACTTGTTGAAAGACACATCTGCACCCACAGCTCCTTTCCTCAGCCTCTCCAGTGGCTTCCCGCCCTCCACAAGCCTCTGCGGCTGCTCTTGCCGCCATCGCCCAGACCCCAGTCTGTTCACTGCTCTAGTCTGTTTCATGTGGTTGGCTGCTCCCACCTTCTTGAAATGCTTTTTTCTCTTGGCTTCTATATTGTCAGACTTTTGCAAATGTCTTCCTTCCTGGCTGGCTGCTCCTTCTCAGTCTTCCTTGCTGGCTCCCTGTCCTGTCAATCAGATCTGTCCTGGCCCCCTAGTCCCCACTATCTGCATATTCTTCCCAGGTGGTCTCATCTGGTCTGGTGGCTTTAAATACCACCCATGTTCCAGTAACACCCAAATCTCCCTCCCCACCCTGACCTCACTCAGAATTCACACTGATCTATGCAGCTGCCCCCTTGGCCTCACCAGGAGGATCTCCTTGTAGGAAGGGGTGAGGAGAGCACGGATTCCCAGCCCCTGGTGTCAGTTCTCTCCTGGCCGACTGCGGTAGCCTCTTCCTGGGCTCCTTTCTTTTACTCTTAGCCCCAGCCTGGTCTCCACACAGCGACCAGAGTGACCTTTAACAGACATATACCAGCTGAGGTTGTTCCCTGCTTTAAACCTCCAGCAGCTTCTCCCGTGCACTTTGAGTAAAATCCAGACTCCTTAGCCTGACTTGAATTGCCCTACAGAGTCTGGCCACCATCTCTCTCTCCAGTCTTCTCTCATCGTCCCCTCCTCAGCACCAGACATCAGCCCGCTGGACCTCCTTCTGCCTCTGAGACACTCAAGGCCTGTGCCCAGTTGGCCCTTTGCACTAACTGTCAACTTTGGCTGGAATGTGCGTCCCTCAGAGTTCTGGAGTGAATGGTGGCTCCTTCTTGGTCTTCAGATTCCAGTTTCAGTGCCATTGCTTAGCAAGGCTGCCCCTGACTCCCCAGCTACTCTCTGTCACCACATTGTGTATTTTTTGTTGTTGTTGAGGAAATTGGCCCCTGAGCTAACATCCAATGCCAATCTTCCTCTTTTTGCTGAGGAAGATTAGCCCTGAGCTAACATCTGTGCCCATCCTCCACTTTGTATGTGGGACGCCACCACAGCATGGCTTGATGAGCAGTGAGCAGGTCCGTGCTCAGGATCCAAACCTGCGAACCCCAGGCCACAGAAGTGGAGTGCGCAAACTTAACCACTACACCACCAGGCTGGCCCCCACATTGCCTATTTTAATTGGCTGGATCGTGCTTATCACAGTCTGCTGCTCCTCCGTGGGATTTGTGTGCTGTGTGGTACCTGTCTCCCTCTGTTAGAGCGTAAGCTCCATGAGCACAGGCCCTTGTTCCTCTGTCACTGTTCTGTCTCCAGCTCCTAGAACAGACACTCAGCACGCGGCTCCTGACTCTGTGAATGAGGCCATCTATGTGAACTCTCGGCCCTGTGCTGAGCGTATAAGGTGCTCCCTAAACGTCGGCCCTGACAGCACAGACAGCACAGGCGCTGCCGAGGGGGAGCTGTCGCTCAGAGGCCAAGACCAAAATATTAGTCAATGTTTCTGCACTGCCTGTCACAACTGTGTAAAACAAATGCATTTTCTTTGTACTGAAATACATAAAATCTTCTGACAGTTATTTCAGAAACCCAGCTAAGAGATTCAGTTTTTGGCCCTAGAAATAGAAATAATCAAAAGCTTTCCAACCTTGAAAGCAGCTAAAGTTTTACTGGGCAAACCAGGATGGAGGAAGGAACCGAATTCCGTGGTGAGGACAGAGCTTCTCTCTTGTTTTTAGCAGATGCACTTTCCCATCTGCTCAAGGGAGTAGTTGGCTGTATTCAAAATATGCTTCTCAGTGGCAACAATCTGTCTGAGTCCACAGTTCAGGGGCGTGAGTTGCAGTTACTTTAAGTTCTGACCTGTGGTCTGCCCTTCTCTTGCTTAGTGTGGGGGATTTACACAGTGGGAATGAAAAAGCATCTGACTGTATCTGGCTTCTGTTATGAGGCTCAGCTATACATAAGGGCTCCTACCTATTAGATACTGGGTCCTCATTCATTTAATAATTAAAAAGGATAGGCAAAGAAGACCTTTATAAGGAGGAATCATCATCAGAGTTCTTAGTTGCAAACAATGGAATCTACTCTAGCTTCTTTAAGCAGGAAGAAATGTGTTAAACGTTGTTAGTGGTGCACAGCTCCCCAGGAAGGGCCAGTGCGTTGGTTTCAGAGGCCATGCCACCAAGAATGATGCCCAAACCATCCCACCCCTGCAAAGGTATGCTCCTGTACACCAGTGGTCCTGGGGACTGGATGCTCAAAACTCCTCTCTGCTTTCTTTGAAAAACCAGTTGCTTCTGTCAACAGTCTCTCCAAAAACTGGAGTCTGCATGGGACCCGTTCCCTCATTGCTCATTTCCATCTTGAAGTCTCAGGCAGGTGCAGTGCATCTGAAGGGTAGAGCCTAGGTGACATGTCTGCATCTCAGCCGCAAAAGAAGTTGGAGAGCAGCTTAAGTCTTTCACCTTGGGGCATGGGTCTCATGTATGTGGAGAAGAAAGGGCACACATATGACAAATAATACTCCCAGAAAGTTCCATCTGAGCTGAGAACCAAAGGATGAGGAGGAGTCAGCCAATAGAAGAGTGAATGGAAGAACCTTCAAGGAAGAGGGAACAGCATGTGCAAAGGCCCTAAGGCCAAAAAAACAGCTTGAGATATTTAGCGAACAGAGAGAAGGCCAGTGATACTGTAGCCCAGTGCGTGTGGGGAAGAGGAGCAGGAGACAAGGCTGGGAAGTAACAGGGGCTGGATCCTGTAGAGTTGGGAGGGTTATAGTAAGGAGTATGGATATAATTTAAGTGCTATGGGAACCCATTAAAATAGGGAGATGACATGATCTGATTTACATTTTTAAAAGATCACACTGTCTTCTGAATACAGAGAATGTGATGGAGGGGGACAGAGACCAGTTAGGAGGCTTTTGTAGTTGTCTAAGGAAGAGACAATGACAGCAGGTGGCAAGAAGCGGACAGACCTGAAATGTGTTTTGGAGATAGATCTTTCAAGACTTGCTAATGGATTGGCTTTGGGAGTGGGGAGGAGAGGCGGGGAAAGAAAGGAAGGAGTCAGGATGCTTCCCAGGTGTGTGGCTTAAGCAGCTGAATGGTTACTGAGATGGAAAGTGTGGAGTCTGGGGTGGGGAAGCCACCCGGAGTTCAGTGTTGTGAGCCAGCCCTGATGGCCTAGCGGTTCAAGTTCGGCGTGCTCCACTTCGGCGGCCCAGGTTCAGTTCCTGGGCATGGAAACACACCACTTGTCTGTCAGTAGCCATGTTGTGGCGATGGCTCACATAGAAGAACTAGAAGAACTTACAACTATACACAATTATTTACTGGGGCTTTGGTCGGGGGGAGGGAAAGGAGAAAGATTGGCAACAGGTGTTAGCATGGGACGACTCTTCCCCTAAAAAAAAAAAAGAGTTCAATTTTGAACTTGTTAACTTTAAGATGCCTATGAGAAGTGCAAATGGAGATGTCATGTAGGTAGTTAAATACATAAGACTAGACTTTGGAGGAGAGGTCTGGGTTAGAGAAAGAAATTTCTACTCAAGTTTTATATATCTGTGACAAAATATGGGAACTAGGAGTGAATGACCACCATAGAGCCATAGGCAAAGGCAGGAAAAATACGGATGGACATTTAGATCTTCTAAATGGGTGATGCCACCTACCAGTTATAAAGCTCTGAGCAAATCTGAGCCTTATCTACAACGTGGGCATCACGTCTGGTATTAATTCTTATAGATTCAATCTGAGGATAGGTTGATGTCCCACAGATTGTTGTCTAGTCACGTCCTCTCAGAGTGTCTACTCATTTTAACCAGAATTTTCCCAAGTCCCAGAGCCTGGATACAGGAAGGGTCATTAACAATAATGACACAAATTCCGCCAGCTCATGCCCATACCTGCTAATACACAGATCTGCAAAGCCCACTCCCCTCCCAGACATTTCTGGGCATCCCCACATTGGCTCAAAAGCAGGCTCCCCTACTGCTCTGCCCCATCACAGCTGAGCCCTCAGCATGCAGAATCTGAGAAATAGGGTGACCACGTGGGGTAGAATGGTTCCATCTGCCCTGTGCCGTGGTGGGGAGGGGGTCCCAGAGCAGTCTTAGCTTATCCCCCATCCCAGTAATAGTCACCTTGCCTCACACACTCAAGGGGTGCTTGCCGGTCACCACAGGAGAGGATGGATGGGAAAGGACTTTGGAGAACCCACCATGTGCGATTTTCTTTGCATATATCCTCTCTAATCCTTACAACATCCCCGCTAGGTAGGTAGTTATTCTCTTTACTTGACAAAGGAAGAAATAGACTTGCAGAGGTGAATAACTTGCCCCAGGCCACAGAGCTGACTTCAGCTGACACCAGGATGCTGTCAGTCTGAGCTCTCTCTGCATCATCCTGCTACCTCTCCAATAGGCGGGTCTAGTAACTTAAACCCAAGCTAGTCTCCTGGCATGTATTCTCTGCTCTGCTACACATCTCTCTGAGGCTGTTAAGCATGAGCGTGATGCTGCATTGAGCCCTGGGAGTGTTTCTTTCTTTTTTTTTTTTTTTTTTTTTCGTGAGGAGATCAGCCCTGTGCTAACATCTGCCAATCCTCCTCTTTTTTTGCCGAGGAAGACTGGCCCTGGGCTAACATCCGTGCCCATCTTCCTCCACTTTATATGGGACGCCGCCACAGCATGGCCTGACAAGCGGTGCGTCGGTGCGCGCCCGGGATCCAAACCAGCGAACCCCGGGCTGCCGCAGCGGAGCGCGCACACTTAACCGCTTGCACCACCAGGCCGGCCCCCTTGGGAGTGTTTCTCTCTAACAAATCCCAGTCACCACTTCAACCCTGTAGAAATCAGTAGCTGTTGGACAACCAGCTGCACGGTGTATGGGAAGTCCTTGCAGCTTTATTCTTCCCATTCAATTATCATATTTATATAAGAGCAAAGTGGTTGTTGTTGAGACTAGTGGACTGCTTGTCTGCCACTTGGTGGGCCATCTGTTTAACATTACTAAACTCCTACTCATCCCTAAAGACAGAACAAAAGTGTCTTCTCTCCTTGGAAGCCCTCCAGCTCTCCCCCAGACAGAATCAAGTATTCCCCACTCTGGCTTCCTGTGATACTCTGCTCAGACTGCTTGTGGCAAACTGTTAGTTGTTCCCCAATATCTGTTGTTCTCTTCCTCTGTAGAAAGAGAACCTTTGATTTTTAGCTGGGCATGTACATGGCCAGAATAAAGATTACATTTCCTAGCCCCACCCTACATCTGTGTGTAGCCATGTGACTAAGATCCAGTTCATGAGATATAAGTGGATGTGCTATGTGGCAGTTTCTGGGAACCTTCCTTAAAAAAACAGTTCATGTGAATCCTTTGTCTCTTTGTCCTTTTCTCCATTCTGCTGCCTGGAATGTGAATGTGATGACTGGAGCTCTAGCTGCCATCTTGTATCCTAAGAACAAGAGATCTCTTAGGAAAAGTGGAACTGGGTGGTGGAAGAAGTCAGAGTCCTTAAGGACTTACACAGCAGAAATACCATATAAGCCCTGGATTGCCTACCCTCAGACTGTTAATGTGAGAGAGAAATTTCTACCTAGTTTGAGCCACTGTTATTTTGAATCTCTGTCACTCACTTACAAACCTACTTCTAACTTACATTATCCCTCTGATGAATATGTGATACTTTCCACACATTACTGTATTATCTACTTACTTTTATCTCCCCTGCTGGACTGGGAGCTTCTCTGGGCAGAGACTAGGTGTCAGGGTCTGCCCAGTGCCAGACACGTTAGTAATTGCTCAATGAAATGTTTACTGAAGGAGCTGTGGTGAGCGACTGCATAAAAAGTGGTAGCAGTGTTCATGGAGCCCTTACCATCAGTAGTCACTCGTGCACTTTGGTTGCTTTAGCTTGCTTAATCCTCGTAAGAACCCTATGAGGAAACCAAAGCAATCGAGAGGCTCGATGACTTGCCCGAGATCACCAGCTGGTGAGTGACAGGGCTGGGACTGGAACCCCGGTCGGCCTCAGTCCCCAGCCCGTGTGTTTTCTACATCAGCCACTTCTTTCCACCACGCTTCCAGGATGGAGGGCTGAGTTACCAAGCTGTGCCTGAAAGGTCTCCTTCTACGTGTTCCTTTGCTAAGAACAGTGAGAAATATCTAGGAAATTGCATGTATACTTTTTGTATTCCTCTTGCTACCGGTTTTACTAAATTTGTTCTTCTTTTTTTTTTCTCCTTTGGAGTCTACTAATGTAAATTCAACCAAGAAGAATTCAGAGGCTAGCTCACGAAAACCAAATACCACAAAAGGTACATTAACTACCTAAAAGAGAAATGTAGGCTTTTGTCTTATATTATTATCTCCAAAACCCTGGTTTCTTGGGTTTGTTCGAACATAATTTGCCAGCTGAGTTTACACTTGTGGTTCTAGCCTGGGCCTTGGCACCAAGTAGTATCTCACGAGAGACGTAATTGTCTTTCCAGTTCAACAGGCACTGATATTCCACTTTTGTAATGATGAGTTCAGCACAGTGCTAATATCTCTGGGGAAGAGATTGTTGGCAATGGAAGAAAATAAATGTAAGACGTGATTACTGCTCCTCTCCCCCATCGGAAACCAGCATTTATTGAGGTAGGAACCGATTTGTGCCCAGATGTTAATTTATAAAGATGACTGAGTGACTACACGGAGAGGCCAATGCCATTGAAAGAAAAGTTTGTAACTCAAAATTCTAGAAATGGGAGGCATGGCTCACCACACAGGACCACAGGTGGAAGCACAAGTGTCAGTCAGGAGGCAGAAAGGAGTGCGGGGAAGGCACAGGCCACAGCCTTTATTGGGATTTCCTTAGGAAAGGCTAGGCATGAGAGAGTAAGCAGCTTAGGATTGGCTAGTTTGAGTAATTCTGGCTGGCTTTGGAGTATAGGAGCTATCCCTAGTTATCTGGCACCTGGCCTTGGGTTGATTTAGGTTGGGGGAAATATTGCCTTGGTGTGTGAGAATTAGACAAAGGAGGTGGTTCAGAGTATGGGCTCTGGATCACAGGGGAGATGTAAGTAACTTTGGCCATTAGTTTGGCCTTGTAATTAATGGATGCCAAATAGACAAATACAGAACCTAAGAAAACACTGTTAGAAGAGGAACTTTTTAAGTGTCATTCTAGACAATTTTGCACGTGTTATCGTTATTCCAAAAAATTAAACCATCCTTTTTCTTGATGGAGAAATGGAGGCTCAGAGAAGTTAGTATGTAATTTATATCTCCATAAAGTTGTTGTTAAAATAAAAAAAAAAAAACTTGGGGGCCACTCTCTGAGAAGTATTGCCGGGGTCCCAAATAGAGGTAAATATTTGTGGGAGACTTTGGAAGTCCCCAAAATATACATATATATTCAATTCATAAAGACCCATGAGTCAAAGAGGAAGTACCAAGGGAAATTAGAAAATATTTTGAACTGAATGAAAATGAGAACTTTGTTCTAAAATGAGCGTTTAATGCTATAGATTTCGCTCTGAACACTGAGGTATCCCACAAGTGTTTTAGATACAGTCTTTTTATTTTTATTCAGTTTGGGTTGTTTCCACTGTGTAGCTCTTTTGAATAATGCTGTTATGAACATTCATGTTCAAGTTATTGTGTAGACATATGTTTTCATTTCTCTTGGGTGTATGTATACCTAGGGGTGGAACTGCTGGGTCATATGTTTGACTTTTTGAGGAAGTGCCAAACTGTATTTCAAAGTGATCATCATACATATTTTAAAGAATATAAGAGGAGGAAAGTAGTCTATTATATTTACTATATGTAACCAGATATATTTACTATATGTAGTGTATTTACTATTTATATTATATATTTACTATGTATATTATATTTACTATATATAACCAGATATGTACAATTTCTGTTGCTTTTCTTTCATTCCTGAAGTTCCAAGTTTCCCTCTGGTATCATTTTTCTTCCACCTAAAAAAAAACCTTTCCTTTAGCATTTCATTTAAAATAGGCCTGCTGGCAATGAATTCTCTTAGTTTTCTTTCATCTGAGAATGTCTTTATTTCACCTTCATTCTTCAAGGATATTCTGGAAAAAAAAAATCTGGGTTGACAGTTCTTTTCTTTCAGCACTTTAAAATGTTCCACAGCCATCCCGCGTCAATGGTCTGGTGAGAAACCCACAGTCATTTAAATTGTGGCTCCCCTTCTGTGTACTGCGTTTTCCTCTGGTTGCCCTCGAGATGTTTTCTTTGTCTTTGTCTTTCAGCTGGTTGAGTATGATGTGTATGGACATGGGTTTCTTTGAATTTAACTTGTTTGGGGTTTGCAGAGCTTCTTGAATCTATAAATTTGTGTCTTTTGCCAAATTTGGGAAGTTTTCAGACTATTTTTTCAAATAATTTTTTTCGTATCACACTCTTTCTCCTTTCTTTTTGGGACTTTGATGACACAAATGTTAGACTTGATATTGTCCCATAGGTCCCCAAGGCTCTGTTCATTTTTTCCAGTCTTTTGTGACTACATTATTCAGATTGTGTTGTATAATAAAAATATAGATTTGGTCTTTGTCCTGAGTTCTTGGAAGAGCTCCTTAAACCCTCAGAATTTCCCAAGTGATAGGCGTGTCTTTTGTTATTCTTACTGAGCATCTTTCAACCACACCTGAGTATATGCTAATAAGGTGACTCAGGTTGGGGCCCCAGATAGCTTCAGGATGGAGTCTTGTTACCAGAAAGACCAAACACAATTAGAGGGTGGGAACTTTCAGCTCCACCACCCCCCTCAACCTCCAGGGAGGAGAGGGGGACTGGAGATTGAGTTATAAAAACTCTTGAACAATGTGATTTGGTGAACTTCCAGGTTGCTGAACACATCGATGTGCTGGGAAGGTAGTATGCCTGAAAAGAGCATACTCCATGCCCCACCCCCACCCCATACCTCACCCTCTGTATCTCTTCCATTTGGTTGTTCCTGAGTTATATCTTTTATAATAAATCTGTAATAGCAAGTATAGCACTTTCCTGAGTTCTGTGAGTCATTCTAGTGAATTACCAAACCTGAGGGTGGATTGTGGGAACCCCCAAATTTGTAGCTGGCTGAATAGCCTGGGCACCCCATTTGAGACTGATGCCTAAAGTGGGGTCAGTCTTGTTGACTGAATCTGATCCCGCCTTGATACATGGTTGACATAAGGGAAGCCATATTGTAGAAAAGAAACCATGTTGTAACTTTGAATGACCTCTGATTAACTGACATGCTCTGTGGATTTTACGGCCCCTCCCAGCTGCAATAAGTCAATAACTTGGTTCTTCTGAGTTCCTTAGGAATGTGATGGCCCCTGGCAGAGAATCTATGCTGATAGCCATAATCAATGACGACTGAAAGATCAGGGTATAGGGTGTTTCTCTGGTTTCTGATGCATATCCAGTAAAACAAAAGACTATCAGGAACTAAGATGTCTGCCCCTACTCAGAGGTCAGTTGGATGCCCCACTGCTGAGACCAGATGCCCACCCCACCACACCCCACCCCCTAGCCCTGCCCCAGAGACCTGCCCCTTATATAACTGGCCTGTAATCTTTGTTCTGTAAGATGGTTCTTTCAGACATTAGTCAGCCATCTTCCCCCTTGCTAGCAAGCTGTAATAAACTGCCCTTGCTCTGCCACCATCTTGCCTATTGACAATCCGCTTTTACGGCGAGCAGATCGTGTCCTCTGTGCAGTAACAAATCCTTTACCTTGTGGAATCTGACACTGACTCCAGGTAGATTTGGAATGGAATTGAATTGTTGGATACCCAGTTTATTTCAGAGAATTGGAGAATTGGTGTGGAAAAACAACACATGTGGTGTCAGAAAACACCACACAAATTGGATAATGTTTGTTCATCTGTCTTCAATTTCATTATCTCTTTCTCTCACCTCCATTCTGCTATTGATCCCATCCAGTGAATTTTTCTTTTCAGTTGTACAATTTCTATTTTGTTCCGTCATAGCTTCTATTTCTCTACTGAAACTTTTGTTTTTTCATTTGTTTCAAAAGAGTTCACCCTTACTTCTTACAGCATTGTTATAATAGCTGCTTTAAAGTCATTGTCTGATTTCAACATCTGAGTCATTTCAGGGTTGGCAACACTGATTGTCTTTTTCCCTTGAGAATTTATCAAACTTCCCTGGTTCTTTGTATATTGAGTAATTTTGGATTGTATTCTGGACATTTTGAATATTATGACACTTTGAGTCTTGTTTAAATATATGAAGAAGGTTGAAGTATATTGTTTTGTTTTAGCAGGCAATTCACCTGGTTAGGTTCAGGTCAGAAGTTCTGACCTGCTTTCTGTAGATTGTGGTTTCAATGTCAGTTCAGTTTTCAAAACTTTTGCAGTACTATTTGGATCTGTCCCATGTGTATGCCACCCAAGGACCACATTTGAGACCTGAGCAGTGATCCACCTTGCAGTCCAGTTCTCAAAGCCTTTGGTATGCTGTTTAGGGTCAGATACACATGTGCAGCTCAGGGGTGAGCATGGGCATCCATACACAATTTTATGGGATTCCTGTCCTTATCTCTCTCCTCTCTGCAATCTTCCCCACACTCTGGCTCCAAAGGTACCCCTTCCTGGTCTTCTGCTAGAAAGTTGAGACTTCATTCTCTCCACTCTTCTGCATACTTCTTGTGACGAAGTCTGCCTCCATGGCCCGCTGGGAGGAGGACAGAGAGAGAAATAAAACAACAGAGATCTCCTTCACACTCTTTGGACCACAGGTCCATGGTCCAAGAGAAGGATTCGCCTCCCTCAGAGTTTTAGGTGCCTATCCAGCTGCTGCCACTACCATTACAGGGTTGCAGCTTCAAGAAGGGGGCTTACTAGGACGCACGTGTGGGAGAGAAAACAAAACGAGATTCTCTCCACTCTTATTGTCCTGTCGGGATTTCCCTTCCCACTCCTTGGACCACAAACAGAGGGCTTCTGTTGGGTCTTATTCTGTCTTCACTTGGTGCTCACTTCTGGGGTTCATGTTGCCTTTGAGCTGGGGCATACAGAAGGAAAAAATAAGTCCAGGAAACTCGCTGCCATATGGTTTCTATTTTGAGTTCTGGTTTTCTTCTCCAGTTCACCTGCTACCATCTACTTTTCAGAGTCCTCGGATAGCTACCCCATGCATTATGTCCAGGGTTTTTAGTTCCCTTCAGTGGGACATGGGATAGAGTATGCTTACTCCATCTTAACCAGAACCAGAATCCTGATTGAATTGTTTTGGTTCTCTTTTTCTTACTCCATTGTATTCTATTTTTTTGGAAGTTATATATCCTGTTTATATTCTTTATTGCTGTGATTCTCAAACGGGAGCAGTTTTCTCCCCAAGGAACATTTAGCAATGTCTGGAGATGTTTTTAGTTGTCACAACTTGGGGAGAGGTTGCTACTGACCCATAGTGGGTGGAGGTCAGGGATACTGCTAACCATCCTACAATGCACAAGACGTCTCCCACAGCAAAGGATCATCTGGCCCAAAATGTCAGTAGCACTGAGATTGAGAAACCCTGCTTTATTGTATGCCTTTGAAATTCTATCATGCATATTTAGCTTCATCTAAGTTAGATAATATCTTAACCCACTCCCTTTCCTGAACACAACTCCCTTTCCTAATTTAACCCTAATCCTTTCCCTCCAGACTTAAATGCTATTTTGTCTAGTTTTTTTAATTCTGTCCTATTTTAAAACCTAACAAATTATATATTATTATTATTATAGATAATTTTTGTTTGGTCTTAAACTATCATTTTATTTTCCCATTTGTTGATGCTCAGACCATCTTTTTGAGGTCATTTCTTTCTTCCTGGAAAAGATAAATAATATGTATATAAATAAAAATATTATATATGTTTATAAAAATAAATATTATATATTAGGGGGAGAGAGAGAGAATCTTTAGCAGTTCCTTTATCACAAGTTTCTTGGTAAGTTCCCTTAGTTTTTGTTTTTCTATGAATGTCTTTATTTCACCTTTGCTTGAAGACAGTTTTGCTAGGTACACAATTCTACCGCAATGCTCTGGTAATTTTATTCCACTGTCTTTCTAGCTTCTGTTGTTACTGTTGAGAACTCTGCAGTCATTCTAAAATTGTTATCCCTTTATAGATGATCTGTTGTTTCTCTCTGCCCATCTTTAAGATATTCTCCATTAACATTCTCCTACAGAAAAGCCATAAATTTGTGCAAGAGTTGGATCTTTCTTCCCTTTTAATCACAACACCCTTCCTGATTCTGCTTAGTAATTTTTTGTATGTGTGAGGAAGACTAGCCCTGACCTAACATCTGTTGCCAATCCTCCTCTTTTTGCTGAGAAAGATTGGCCCTAGGCTAACACCCATGCCCATCTTCCTCTACTTTATATGGGATGCCGTCACAGCATGGCTCAATAAGCAGTGCGTAGGTCCACGCTCGGCATCCGAACCCGTGAACCCTGGGCCACCGAAGCGGAGCATGTGAACTTAACCGCTACGCCACCAGGCTGGCCACTCTGCTTAGCACTTTTACAGCCTTCAGGCCTCTCTCGCCTCATTCTGACCAGAGTGTAATCTGTAGAGAATTCTATCATAGCACTTGAGTTAGTGTTACACTTATTATTTGCATGTCTTTTTTTCTCACTAAGCTGTGAGTTCCTTGAAGATAGTCTACTTCCAGCACCTAGCATGGGCCCAGCACATAGTAGATGCTCAGTAAATGTTTGTTGAGTGGATGAATAGACAGACAAAGAGATAAGTAAATAGACAAATGTATGGCCACAGGTGTATATATCTGGCTAAAATGCAAGTGATCTTCTTAGCATATTATATGCTTCTCCCATATGATCTCCCGATGATCTGAATAACCCAGGCATTTTCACACTAACAGGAAGCTGAGATTTACTGTTTGCTCTTTCTATCTTATCACAGCTGACAATCTCCAATGATAATTTTTTTCCTAATATTGCATTGACAGAGCATCATTTTCAGACTCAGGTCTTGAAGAAAGCTGCACAACAAGTCAAGAGGATATCAGAAGCAAGAGAATATGAAAATATACTTCCTAAGCCGGTGAGCACATGATTGGAAATTTAATAGTAGAGATGATTTAAAAGGGGCTAGGAGATCTGGCTAGAAACTAGTTCTGTGAAGACGTCAGGGTACGAACTGGGGTGTTTCTGATTGTAGACTCTGGTGATACAGTCAGGAAATCTCCTAAGGGTAATTCCTGGCTGAGATAGGCACAAGATGAGTGAGCATTTTGTCTGGATTTCTCCAGGGGTTTAAATCACTTGCTTGAAACTCTGGAGCCTGGGTGCAATACAAAGAGAGCACTGAGTCTCAGTTTCCTACTCGATAAAATGGGGACAATAATTCCTGGGTCATAGTGTTCTTATGAGGCTTCCCTGAGGTGGTGATGATAATTAACATATAATGAACACTTACCGCATGTTAGGCAATACCCTGAACCTGTGCATGCAGTATGTTTTATTTCACTGTCACAGTCATGTGAGATAATTACTCCTGCTGTTCTTCGGTTTCTTAGTGAGGAAAGCGATGCTCAGAGCAGGTAACTAATTTGTCCAAATTCACAAAGCAAATAAGTGGTAAAGCCAAGACTTGCATGCAGCTCTGTCTGACTCTGAGCCCAAACTCTTAGCCGCTGAGCTTTGCCACAGCACAGCCCGCACAACACAAGAGGCACTGGATTAGTGTGTTCTCTCCTCTTCTCTTCCCCTCCCCCAGCTCTTCCGCACAAACCTCAAGGCATGATGGTTTACATCAGTGGCACCTTCAGTCTTGTGCAGTGCGGAGAGGCCCTTAGGACCCTGGGCCAAGTAGAGCAAATATTGTAGAAGATCTCTTGAACCTTCTTCATTTCTCCGTATTTATTACTGCTGCATATTTCCCCTCAGCATTTAGCAGTGAAACTTTTGAGAAGTAGCAGGGCGTGGTGGAAAAGATGGACAGACGTGGGTTCAAATCTTGGTGCTGTGTCTCATCAGCTGTGTTGCTTGAGCAAGTTGTTTACCTTTTCTGACCTTCTTCTATAAAGTGGGGAAAAATAAAGCCCGGCAGTGTTATGGTCCTTACTGCTGACTGGGCTGGTGGGGTTGCTCTAGAGATAGAAGACAGGAGATGAGCAATTGTGTCCTGCTCTGTGACCTGTCTTGGTGGAGGGGAAGCCCAGCAGTTAGAGTGGACGGTGGCAGATTTTAACAGGAATGGAAAGCAGCTGAGAGCCAGTGGCCTGGCGGAGACAAATGGAAGGGAAGTCCCCGAGGAGAGCTGGCTCAGCGAGCTATTCATGGGGGCCCCGCTGATTGCTCCTGACTGAAGAGCCCACATGTGATTCCACCACTGTAAGAAGCACAGGATTGATATAATCTGCTGTCCATTCTTTTTCCTTTTTTGTGTGTGTGAGGAAGATCAGCCCTGAGCTAACATCTGTCACCAATCCTCCTCTTTTTGCTGAGGAAGACTGGCCCTGGACTAATATCCGTGCCCATCTTCCTCCACTTTATATGGGACGCCGCCACAGCATGGCTTGACAAGCAGTGCGTCGGTGTGCGCCCGGGATCCGAACCTGCGAACCCGGGGCCACTGCAGCGGAGCGTGCGCACTTAACCACTATGCCGCCGGCCAGCCCCCTCCTTTTTTTTTTTTTATACCATAGTTTTTATTGAGACAGTAATCTTTGCCCATGATAAAATCAAACAGTATTAAAGGATATGTAATAAAAAGTTAATCTCTCTTCCATGCCAGACCTTATGCCTCCTCCCCAGAGGGAAACACTGTTTTCCCATATATCGTTCTAGAAATGTTTGATGGATGTCAAGAAATATAAACCTTTTTTTTTCTTCTTAACACAAATTGGAATATTATATACACTATTTTGCACTTTGCTTTTTCAACCTAACATATTATAGCTAACACTTATTGAATGCTTCCTGTATACCAAACATCGTTCTAAACACATCATATCTATTAATTCATTTAATCCTCACATAACCCTAAGAGAAGTAGGTTTTATTTATTATCCTCATTTTATAGATGAGGAAACTAAGGCTCAGAAATATTAAGTATCTCACCCAAAATCAAATAGCTAGTATGTGGTGGAGCAAAGATTTTTTAAAGCTATAATTCACATGCCATAAAATTCAGCATTTTAGTGTGCAATTCAATGGTTTTTAGTATATTCACAAGGTATGTAATCATCACTCTCTAATTCCAGAACATTTTTATCACGCCAAAAAAGAAACCCCATATTTCATTAGCAGTCACTGCCGAGTCCCCTCTCCCCAGCCTCTGGAAACTGCTAATCTACTTTCTGTTTCTATGGATTTGCTTATTCTGGACATTTCATATAAATGGAATCAAACAATATGTGGCCTTTTGTGACTGATTTCTTTCACTTAGCATAATATTTTCAAGGTTTATCCATGTTGTAGCATGTATCAGTTTTTTTCATTTCTTTTTATGGCTCAATAATATTCCATTATATGAATATGTCACATTTTGTTTTCCATTCACCAGTTGATGGACATTTGAGTTGTTTCCATCTTTTGGCTATTATGAATAATACTGTTTCTATGAACATTCATGTACAAGTTTTTGTGTGTCCATATGTTTTCTAGTCTATTGGGTGTATACCTAGGAGTGGCATTGTTGGGTCACATGGTAACTCTATGTCTAACTTTTTGAGGAACTGCCAAACTTTTCCACAGCGACTGCACCATTTTACATTCCTACCAGCAATGTATGAGGGTTCCAGTTTCTCCACATCCTGGCCAACGTTTATTGTCCATTCTTTTTATTGTAGTTATCCTAGTTGGTGTGAAGTAATATCTCATTGTGGGGTTTTTTTTTGTGTGTGTGTGAGGAAGATCAGCCCTGAGCTAATATCCATGCCAATCCTCCTCTTTTTGCTGAGGAAGACTGGCCCTGGGCTAACATCTGTGCCCATCTTCCTCCACTTTATATGAGACGCCACCATAGCATGGCCTGACAAGCAGTGCATCGGTGTGCATGCAGGATCCGAACCTGTGAACCCCGGACCACCACAGCAGAGCTCACACACTTATCCGCTGTGCCCCAGGGCTGGCCCCTCACTGTGGTTTTGACTTTCATTTCCCTAATGACTTATGATATTGAGCATCTTTTCATGTGCTTATTTCCCAGTTACATATTTTCTTTGCAGATATGTCTATTCAAGTCTGTTGCCCATTTTAGGTTGAGTTGTTTGTCTTTTTTATTGTTGAGTTGTAAGAGTAGAGCCAGGATTTTAACCTGAGTAGCTGACTCCAGATCCCATGCTCTAAATCAGACTCTGTACTGACCTCAGTATATTTTAGAGAATGTTCCATATGAGAGCACATGGAGATCTATCAAATTCTGTTTTCATATTTGTACCTGTGTTCCATAATTCATTACCCATTTTCCTCTTGATGGGCATATAGGTGCTTCCAGTCTTTGCTGTTATAAACATTGCTGCCTTGAAGATCTTCGTATTTGTGTGTTTCTTGGCTCACATGTACAAGTACACATGTAGGAAGCATTCCTAGAAGTAGAATTGCTTTTTCAGAAATACTCTGTAGGGGCCAGCCCGGTGGTGCAAGCGGTTGGGTGCACATGCTCTGCTGCGGAGGCCCGGGGTTCACCGGTTCGGATCCCGGGTGCGCACCAATGCGCCGCTTGTTAAGCCATGCTGTGGCGGCGTCCCATATAAAGTGGAGGAAGATGGGCACGGATGTTAGCCCAGGGCCAGTCTTCCTCAGCAAAAAGAGGAGGATTGGCATTGAATGTTAGCTCAGGGCTGGTCCTCCTCACAAAAAAAAAAAAGAAATACTTTGTAAATCAAAGTATGTACATCTTAAATTGCTCTCCAAAGTAGTTGTGTCAATTTATAGTCCCACCAGTAGCATATGAGAGACTTTCCAGCTATCTTTGCCAATGTTGTGCATTATCAAATTATTTGTTGCCATTTTGATGAGGGGGAAATGGTACTTTATTATTGTTTCAATATTAATGCTTTAATTATGAGTGAAGTTAAATCTATTTTTCTGTATTTATAATCCTTTGGAATTTCTATTTCTATGAAGTGCCTCTTCATGTCCTTTGCCTTTGATTTTTCTCTAAGTAGAAATATTTCTATTTCTAAGATTCTTGCTTAGTCTTTCGCTTATTATTAATTTGTAGAAGCTCAATTCTTTGTCATATGTTTGGCAGAAATGTTTCCTGTTTAATCTTTTTATTTTAATTATGGTATTTTATGCTAGAAAATTTTAATTTTTATACAGTCATATTTCTTGGTCTTCTCTTTTATGGCTTCTGGATTTCATTTTTTACTAAGAAAGATCTTTGCCACTCCAAGATTTTATGAAACATTCTCCCAATTTTTGTACCAATATTTTTGTATTATCACCTATTCTCAGTAAAAAACTTTACTCACATAACCCAGAGGTCACTCTACTCCTTTGTATTTAGCTAGATTGGTCCGAACATTTGTTACATGATTTGTTTGAAGCCTAGTATCCTCCCCAAATGTCTGTGAACTCTGGGGACTTATGTTTTCTCTAGCACTGAGCTCCTCTTCTGTCCCGCATGTGCTATGCACAGACCACAGCATCCCAAATGTACAACTCACCTCTTCCCTTGATTTTCACAAAAACTGCTCACAAAAGGCCTGTGTGTACACTGTGTATATAGAAGATTTTACTAAGTTTAAAGAGATGGGAGAAAGGGAGACCATGTCACTGTAATGCAGAGAACTTTAATGTGTGTTGCCCTTCTTAAAAATCCTTTAGTCGGGGCCGGCCCGGTGGCACAAGTGGTTAAGTGCACACGCTCAGCTGCAACGGCCCAGGGTTCGCCAGTTCAGATCCCAGGCGCACACCGACACACCGCTTGGCAAGCCATGCTGTGGCAGCGTCCCATATAAAGTGGAAGAAGATGGACAGGGATGTTAGCCCACAGCCAGTCTTCCTCAGAAAAAAAAAAAAAAAAAAAAGAGGAAGATTGGCAGATGTTAGCTCAGGGCCAATCTTCCTCACACACACACAAAAAAAATC